TACTGGAAAGTCATCTGGTGTTTTATTTTTTACGTCTACTGGAACCATCCTGTCCTGTTTTTTTATATGTTTAGTTACTGTCTGCTGTCTTTGGGACATTCAGTAGTTATATTCTCCATTTATTGATTGTAGATTTGTTTGTTTCATCCTGCTTTTTTGTTTTATTTGGTTATGTCTAAGTGGGCAGGCTGTGCACTCTTTGTTGTTTGCTCATCTGTGGGCACTACATTTTTCACCTCCTTGTCCAATGGGCAGGGCCTGTTGCTCAGCTATGGTGCAGCAGGGCAGGTCCAGCTAAAGGGGAGGGATTTGGATGGATTGTTTGTGACACGTTCTGGGGTCCACAAGGACCGGCAGTCAGTGCAGGGCAGGTTCTGGTAGGCAGTGCCCGTGCTGCTCAAGGCTGTGATGTTCAGCGCACATTGCAGTTAGGCAGGAGAGAGAGAGGGGGGTACATTGTGATGTGTGGAGCTAGGTTTGGTATGAGAATGAAGAGAGAAAGGATAGAGAAACAAGAGCCAAAAATAATTTTTAAAAAACGGCTGAGGCAGCCTGCCATTGGAGTGGAGAGATGAGAAACCAAGAAATGAAGAAAAACCAAAGGAAAAAAGAAAAAATGAATAAAATTTAAAATTTTTTTTAAAATGCCCTCAGGGATTCCACCAGCGTGGCAGCAGAGACAGGGGAAGCAGTTCCCCAGATGAGCAGCACTTCACAGCCTGTCAAGAAGAAGTAAAAATGGTACATGGAGTCAGGTATTTAAGACAAAGGAAGGGGAGGAGGTGAGAGAGAGGGAAGAAACCAAAAGAAGCCAAAAAATGCAACACCAGCAACAAAGAAATGACACTGAAAGAGCCGGCCGGTGTGAGCGGGGTGAATGTGCATGGCACAGAACCAGTGCCTTCTGGCTGGGATCACTAAGCTCAAGGGGGAAGCAGCGGGTTGTCCTGCAGGCAAGTAGTGGAGGCCAAGCAGCGGGGAGGAGGTATGGGGGGTGGGGAAGTGTGTATGGCTGGTTACAGTGTGCTCTGCCTCCTGCTGGGAGCTCTGTGACTCTACTTTCCCACAGTCCCTGTCTGCTGATCTCCTACAGGAGTCCAAGATGGTGAATCCGTGCTGCATTAGCTGATAGGGGACCTCCACTCGTATCTCTCCTCGCTCTCTGTTCTCTGTTCATTTCTCATTCATTTCAGTGCTTGGTTGAGTTCTTTATCTCTTCATTTGATGCTTAGGGTTCCAGGAACAACGTTTGTTTCTGTTTTACTTAGTTTTTAGGGTCTTTGCTGTGGAGGGACGGTGTGGTGCTCCTGTCTATAGTGCCATGTTGGCTCCATCTCCACAAGGATTGATGGTATTGAAGGAAGAAGTCCAAGCTGCATTGAAGGCATTGGCAAGTAACAAAGCTCCAGGAATTGACTGAATACCAGTTAAGATGTTTTAACAAATGGATGCAACACTGGAAGCACTCACTCATCTATGCCAAGAAATTTGGAAGACAGCTGCCTGGCCAACCAACCAGAAGAGATCAATATTTGTGCCTATTCCAAAGAAAAGTGATCCAACAGAATGTAGAAATTATTAAAAAATATCATTAATATCACATGCAAGTAAAATTTGGCTGAAGATCATTTAAAAACAATTGGCAGCAGTACATCGACAGGGAACTGCTAAAAATTCAAGCGAGATTCTAAAAAGGAGGTAGAATGTAGGATATCATTGCTGATCTCAGAAGGATTTTGGGTGAAAGCAGAGAATGGCAGAAAGATGTTTACCTGTGTTTTACTGACTATGCAAAGGCATTCGACTGTGTGGATCATAACAAATTATGGATAACATTGTGAAAAATGGGAATTCCAGGACACTTAGTTGTGTTCATGAGGAATTGGTATATGGACCAAAAGGCAGTTGTTGGAACAGAACAAGGGGATACTGCATGACTAAAAATCAGGAAAGGTGTGTGTCAGGGTTATATTCTTTCACCATACTTATTCAATCTCTATGCTGAACAAATAATCTGAGAATCTGAACTTTATGAAACAGAATGTGGCATCAGGATTCGAGGAAGATTCATTAACAGTCTGCAACATGCATATGACATAATCTTGCTTGCAGAAAGCAAGAAGGGCTTGAAGCACTTACTGATGAAGATCAAGGATTACAGCCATCGGTGTGAATTATACCTCAACATAAAGAAAACAAAAATCCTGTCAAGTGGACCAATAAGCAACATCATGATAAATGGAGAAAGTATTGAAATTGTCAAGAAAATCAAATGACATATTGCATGGGACAAATCTGCTGCAAAAGACCTCTTCAAAGTGTTCAAAAGCAAAGATGTCTCTATGAGGACTAAGGTACTGCTGACCCAAACCATGGTACTTTCAATCACCTCATATGCACATGAAAACTGGACAATGAATAAGGAAGACTGAAGAAAAATTGATTCATTTGAACTATGGCGTTCTCGAAGAATACTGAATACACCATGGACTGCCAGAAGAACGAATAAATTTGTCTTGGAAGTACAGCCAGAATTCTCCTTAGAAGCAAGGACGGTGAGACTTCATCTCAAGTACTTTGGATGTGTTATCAGGAGGGAACAGTTCCTGGAGAAGGACATCATGCTTGGTAAAGCAGAGGGGCAGCGACAAAGAGGAAGACCCTCAATAAGATGGACTGACACAGTGGCCGCAACAATGGGCTCAAACATAGCAACAACTGTGAGGACGGTGCAGTATCGGGCAGGGTTTCGTTCAGTTGTACATAGGTTTGCTGTGAGTTGGAACCGACTCAAAGGAACCTAATAATAACAACCACCTGAGTAATTCATTAATATAAGAATGGTGAAGTTCATACAGGTGACTTTTAGGCATAGCATCTATTTTTATTGTGTTTTTTTAATTGAGTGCTTTCTAAAATGGATTGACTCAGTCTACATTTTAAAATCTTTTGTTTTTACTTAGAAAGTGACTTTTGTTGACCTTTAGTAATAGATACAAGGTGACCAGAATATTCTAGTAGTTTTATCTATTTTGTCTGCTTAGTTATTTTATTAACTATTTTGTCTTTACCTGTAAACATAATTCTAAGACTATACTAGGAGATATGCAAGTAGCTCTTAAATTTATCATGAGAAATAAAGTGGTCTTGGCCTTAGAGAGCATTCAATAGCTACTTATTGAATAAATAAAAAGAGTCTTTCATAATCATGGCTATTTCATTTTCTTCTCTCATTTAAAAAGCCATATTCGTCTACCTGAAAATTTTTATTTTATTCGTTTTTGTGGAGAAAACTACTTGAATTTCTTTCATTTGCATATTTGAGGATATTTTAATTTCAGCTTCATGCATGGGATGATCATCCAAATATTTACCACAAATTTGCTATTTGTATACTGAAATTTTTTAATTTAATTTTAATTTATGACACACTGAATGTGATATTTTAGAAATTACACATTTTAAAATTGTCTTATAAAATGTAGAAAAGAGCTCTTGCACCAAAACAGAGAACAGATTTTTTAAAAATCATTGTCGTCTGTCCTCATCTTATAATTATTGTGTTACTTTGAGCAAATTATGCCTCTGAAATTCTTTTTTCCTGAACGGTAATATGAGTGTTGGATTAGATAGCCATATCTTTTCTTGGAGTATGAACGTTCCATGTACTCTCCCAAAGGTAGAGAAAAGAATGAGCACCCTCTGCTTCCCTCCACATCCTATCTAATCTCTTGAAGTCAGGTTGTCAAGAAAGAGCTCTGCTAGGGGAGATTGTCAACACAGGCATTGCTAGAACTGTGTAGGCCGCAGTTTCTTAACCCAGCACACTCTACCATATCCCTTTTGGAAGGTGAAAGAAGCACAGGTAGATAGGAAGAGTCATGAGCAGTACAGCATTTACTCTTCATGAAATGGATGAAGAAGCAGACTCAAGGAAGAATGCATTCTTATTTTTCCTTTTGGAACCCCCATACTGCATATTCAAGATTTTTATAACATTATAATGTCCATAGTACAAAATCATTAAACATATTATATGTAGAATATTATCTTTTAAAGAGTTTTTTGAAATAACTGTATCAGGGCAATATACCATTATATAACCAATTTATCAAAGGAGACCTGCTGGCACAAGGGTTAAGCACTTGGCTGCTAACCAAAATGTTGGCATTTCAAACCCACCCAGCAGCTCCACAGGAAAAAGACCTAGCAATCTGCTCTTGTAAAGCTTATAGCCAAGAAAACCGTATGGAGAAGTTCTGCTCTGTCACATAGGGTTGCCATGAGTCAGAATCAACTCAATGGCACCCAACAACAATTTACCATACCTTCTTTTAGTGAATAAAGTCTTATGATGCTGCTATCATTCAATTTTTATTCAACTACTTGCTATATTCAGGGCTTATGCAAATTGTTCTTTTGTTCTTTTTAAAGAAATAAGTCTCTTATCTTCACATTCTTTACCCCTTAAACTTCCCTTCAAATGCTTGCAATGTAAAGCACATTAAAAATAAAGATATGTTTGAACATGTTCTGGACATAATTGAAAGGAAAAATAGTGTATATGTTGAAGGAATATAACATGTGTTTTATACACATATAAATAAATAATGCCTTTGATCATAATTAATGTTTTTTAGTTTATCATTGACATATTAACACATTAATAATAAGCAAAACTATATATAGTCATGTTTCTGAGAAGTATGCATATAATTGCAGCATTATATATGCTGAGATAAATAAGAACATAATCTGAAATCTTTCACAAAGCTGTCCACAGTGTCAATACATCAGAAACCTCAAGTAATTAAAAATGCCCCTTTGTAACTAAATTCACTAACAAGCATTTGAAGGTGAACCCAGTGAATATCAAGTTTGAAAAACAGTACTTAGAGCTAGACTAACTTAGTTCCTAGGACAATGAAATAAAATATCAAATCCTATTTTTATCTATGTAAAAAGAAATAATTTGAGTGTTTTTAAACAACGTATTTTACCTGAAATATTACAGGCATCTTCTATTGCAGTCCATGCAAGTTTACATCCATTCATATCACTTAGACATTGCTCTCTTAAATGCATGCAATCCATGGTTTGAGAGGTGGATTCATTTTCCAAGCATAGCCCCATAGCTTGAAAAACAGCAACAAATGTTCAATATTACAGTTTGGCATCCAGTAATACCAAATCTAAGTTATTAATAACAAAAAGAAGGACTGTGGATAACAAGGTCTGATAAAAATCATTAGAATGCGAGAATGAATCATGATCTCTCCTCTAGCTATAGATCTGTATTTGTCTTGTTGAAGATTCTTAAGTGAATAGTCTACATTTGCTCTCTCTACTTACTGCTCATTTATCCCTCAATTTATCATTTATTTTTATCACCATAGCTCCATTGAAATTGCTCTCAAAAATTTCCCTAATGACCTCTATAACATCAACTTTAATAGTTTTAAGATTTTATATCACCGTTGGGAATTTTACTGATTTTTGTCCTTGAAACTCTCTCTTCCTTATGCAACACTCTTTTCTGTTTCTCTTAATTCTTACCTACTTGACACCCCAAACCAAAAAACGAAACCAGTTGCCTTTGAGTCAATTCCAACTCATAGAGACCCCATGTGTTTCGGAGTAGAAACATAGGGTTTTCAATGGCTGTAATCTTTTGGAAGCAAATCAACAGGCCTTTCTTCTGAGGAGCGTCTGAACCCCCCACCTTTCAATTAGTAGCAGAGCACTCGACCATTTGTGCCACCTAGGGACTCCTTATCTACTTGATACTTTCTTTCTATAGTTAGAATCCTATGATGAGGACAATGTTAAGAGATTTTATTGTTTGGATCCTCTTTCTTTTCCCTTAAGGTATAATTGTAGCTTAGATTTTGTCCTTATGTTTTTCTCATTCCCATTTTACATGGATAATTCCATGCACTCTGATGGGTTTAACTACCATCTGAAGTCTGGTGATTCTTAAATTTATAATTAAATTCCAATATTTTCTAGTACTCCTGTCATACACAGCTGTTATGTCCACCTGAATGTTCCAGACACACTTCCAGACTATACATTGTTGTAACATTGTCCTCATCATCATCACTCCCTGCTGAACCACCCAAATTCATCAGCAATTCCACAATTCACCCAGGCATGCAAACGAAAAACCTGGGGTTCATGATAGATTTCCTTTTCGTTCTCATCTTCACGCTCCCATATCCATTCCTATACAGTTCACTGACTCTTCCTTGGACTACATCCTCTCGTCACTTATCAACATGATTAGGTTCCAAAGACCAGGTTGTTATGTGACATTAGTATTATGCAAAAATAGAGGATGATCACATGATCACAAAATGGAGAATGACTATATCATTACATAGCTATCAAATTACAAACTACATCATTACATAACTGCAAAATTATGTCATTACATAACTGCCAAATTACATCATTAAGTAACTGCCAAACCACTGAGAATCATGTCCCAGCCATGTTGACATATAACCTTAACCATCAAAGCCAGCACCTTGGTGCTCGTTACTGCCAGATACATGTCATTAATGTGCAAAGTAGTTGTATAGTAGATTTTTTACTATTGTTGTAAAAGTGAAATTTTGGATAACAAGATAGTCGATAAGTGAGGAGAAGGTGTATTTGATTAACTCAGAGGGTCAGTTTGCCTCCAGATAAATCTAATTCAAATAGGTCCTTTATATCCCCTGATCTACCTAATGTGATATTCTCCACCATTGCTCTGCTTATAGCCTTTGAGTGGCTCCTCATAACATGGCTCTCATATTCCTCACCATGTGCACTCAGGAAGACCTTAAGCATTTACACTTTCCCAAATGATCCATGCTGTCTTATACTTCTGAGCGTTTACTCTCTGCCGTCTAGTTGGGGCTCAGTTTATTTTTCCTCTGGAATAACTGTCCATTTATCCTTTGAGACTCAGCACAGTCATTACCTGTTTTAAAGAAAATTTCCTTCAACTCCAGTCCCCTTTCTCCACACCAAAATTGAACTCAACACCCCTCATTTGTTTCTCTAGAACCTTGGGCATAACCCACCTACAGGGTTTACTGCTTTGTAGCATTAGTGTGTATTTATGTGCTTGTCTCCACCACTGGGTACTAAAGTTTTACTGAGCAGGCACTGTGTGTTATTCTAATCACCCAAGCGCAATGATGTATTATATATATTAGATAATATGAGTTGACTTGCATTAAACTGAGTAGTGGATTTTAGATTATCTATAGATAAGTAACTGACAATGTTTAATGAAAATAACATCTTCCAGATATTTACAAGTTATCTTGGATGGAGGAGAAAAGTTTCCAGCACTAATAAGGAAAATAGCAATGCTAATTTAGTATGTTGTACAAGTTACTCAAATTAACTCTGAAAATATGCAAACTGTAACTAGTTGAATCAATCCACAGAAAAACAGGGAAATCATAACTGAGTTATTGAGACAACATGGATTAACTATAATCAAGAGACCTCAAATTATATCTTGATCAGGGCCAAATTGATTGAATTTGAGAAAAAAATGAGAATATTAATTATAAATCACCTGTAATAATATAGAGTTATAGGCTTCAAGTAAAGCTTTGAAACCTTTTCTTATCTCTTACCTCTTTCCAAAACCCTTCTCCTAAAGAGAATCCAAAACAACTTCCTGGACCATGTGTACTACTTGGTGGTCACTCTGCATTTGGAAATTAGGCCCATGGATGTGGCTGTCTCATTTTTCTTGTTGAGGGCTGAGTGAAAATTGACATATCAATTTTCTATTTTTCCATGTGTTCAATGACAATCTCATTCTATTCAGCTTGCTGAGATCCTAGGTTGGTAAGCCTAGAGAAAGAGAACAAAAGCCCCTTTTTTGCTGGCCCAAGATTACTTGGTTGAATCCAGCTTTTCAAAGATGTGAAATCAGGATTTAATGTCATAAACTCAATTTTTGTTTGAGACCAGGGGACTGGCATTTTAATTGTCATTAATTATTATATCTTGTTACCATGGATTGAATTGTGTCCCTCCAAAATGTGTGTTGTAAATCCTAAACCCTAGACCTGTGGATGTAATCCCATTAGAGAATAGGGTTTTCTTTGTTATGTTAATGGGACTATAACTGTAGGATGTGTCTTAAACTAATCATTTTTAGATATAAAAAGAGATTAGGCACAGAAGCAAGGAAGCACAGATGGGAGTAGATGCCATGCAACATGAAGGAACTGAGGAACAGAAGCTGAAAAGAGACAAGGACCTCCCCCAAGGGTCTACAGAGAAAGAGAACCTTTCCCTAGAGCCGGTGCCCTGAATTTTTGCTAGTCTCCTGAACTGTGAGAAAATAAATTTCTGTTTGTAAAAGCTACCCATGTGAGATATTTCTGTTACAGCAGCACTAATAAACTAAGACACTTTTTTTGAAGCTCTTTCAAAGAACTTATAGGTCATGTTCTCCTAGACATATCATTAAAACCTCACTGCAATTATCATTTATGAATTTTACATACTATCCTTCCCAAATCTATTTAGCCTCCATTTTCCATTTTTCACTTTTGATTGAAAAATCCAATTGGTTGTATATTTACATGTTTTTCACACATTCCACTCAGCTGAAAATCAGACTGAATAAGAAAACTATCTCAATGATCTGTCCCACAAGAATCCAACATAAAACTTTAGCTTTCCAAAATCTGCCTTACTCATTCATGACTATGATTTGCGGCCCTTTATTTAATTCAGAAGGTTTCAAGGATTCCTTTGAAAAACATATTATATTTTAAAATAAATAAAATGGAGTATGCTGCACACTATATCATCCTCATAAAGATATATGATGCTCATTAGCATGTTAAATACTCCCAGGTTTTTAAATATCACTATTTCTCATGTTTCATTGGCCACAGAACTCCTTTTCACTGCAACACCCACTTAGATGATGTTGAACAAGTATTCTGAAGAATGCACTGTGGAAAATATTAGCTAAACTTACTAAACAGTACAATTTTGGTCCCAATGGTTTGAGAAATGACTTCCCTTCTTCATCCAATCTGGTGTCAAGATTAAATTAGAAGTGAGAGATGAAAACGGGAGGCTATTGCCTTTGCAACTGAGGCTATAATGAAGCTGTGATGTATTTGGTGTGTTCTGTCATATTGCTACCTAATCTATAAAAATTAAAGTCTCCTAGATTTCCCATTATTATAAAATATAGAAATAAAAAATATTATTAGAAATAAATATGGGGAACACGATTTTGGAACACTGAAGAACTATTATTTAAACCAAAGAAAAATTGAAACTATATAAAAGATTTCTTTCCTTCTTGACTTGCTTTTCTTTGACTTGATTTATGTTTACTGTCTTTATATTCAACATAATTTGAAATAACCTCCCTTATTTTCTTGCCCACAATTATGCCTTTATTCATCAATATCTACAAGTTTAGAGTATCCAGAAAATACATTGCCCTTATTTTTAATTAGTGCGTTATTAATAGTCAACTTCCACCACAAGTCTCCCCTTTCCAGAGCTCAATATATAGATTCTACCAAAGGCTGAAGAAGATATAAAACTTTCTCTAATAACATGTCTAGCAAAGTATCTCTCCATAGAGTCTACTTTAAGTGCAAGTGAACCCTTTTTTTCACCAAATTTTACAGTACATTCATAATACTTAAAGAAGGATAAGCCCACACTTCTTCTTTACTAGCTCATGAAAATTGCTTGAAATGTGAAGCATCTGATGTACTGTTAAATTGTTTTGCTCTACTAAATGACTCCTAGCTAGTAAATATTAATGCTTTAGAATTAGGTGGACTGAATGGTTTAAATTAATCTGCTTTACTTTAAAATGGTTTAAATTATTAAATTTCAAAGCAAAATAAGAAATAATCGGAAATTTCTCATCTTATAACTTCTAAATAAACACTGGAAAGTTTTCTTTCTAAAAGACTCTAGCCCATATGTGAATTCTATAAATCCTAGTAAATAATTGGATTACTTCCTACAATGAAACAGAAGCAACCAGAGTGATTATTGTAATTCTTAAATTGTGTGTTTTCCAGAGTTAGAAATAAGTGAGTAAAAGCAAGTTAACATTTTTAAACAGTAATAAACCATGTTCGAGTATAAATTTGAAATTGGTATTATATATTCTAAATCCCTGTTAGCTTAATCAACAGTAAGTTAGATGGGATTGTGTTTCGTTTACAAATAATTACCTTTATTATGAATTCAGATAAACCAGAAGTACAGTTTACTTACCTAAGAAAATGAAGACTATCATTTTGGATAACTTGGGGCTGTTCACCTGGAAGAAGAGCAGATCTTTTTACTCCAACCACCTTCCTAGCAATATCTATCCAGAATAGAACTGCAGCTTCTGTCCTGGCTTTCTAAAAGCATTACTGATTCAAGTCAGCTTCCTATGTCACCATTTCCTTACCAATCCTTTCTGAGCTGTGAACTTTCCTAATTATATCCAAATTCAATTACTTTCTTCTTTGTGTGCTGATCTCGGATATCATGTTTTCAAGAAAGGCCAGAAGCTAAATACTAAGAGAAATGATATATGCTTGGAACATTTTGTTGTGTTTTCCAACTAGAATACTTAGCTGTGTAAAATCTTTCCAAATACAGCCCAAGGTTTACCTAGAGACTTCAGCATGCTCAGTTTCCACATCTTTATTTGGTCTCATTGAGGCAGTTCATGTCATTTGAGGATGTGGAAAAGGAAAATGTAATGGAAATTTAAGTTCCACTAGAATCTAGTTGATGTGCCTCATCTTCCCAAACAACGAAAATAATGTTGCATGTGCCACAAACCCCAGTATGATTATAAATTGTGTCACTTTGGTTACGATTTCTCAAACCCTCCAAATACAGCTACAGTGAAGAAGAAAAAAAAAGCCCACATTCATTGATACAGAAATTCTCTGTTCCTCTGCAAAGGTAATCATTCACTTCGTGTTTATCACCTGACAGCAACGTACTTTTCTCCTAGCTTCGATCAGGGGCATTATTTATTACAGAGGAAGCAAACATGTCTTCCTTTGATTCTGCTCTTCCTCATAAGAGCTTATAGGGCATGATCTGCCTTTGAGTGTTATCAGGCTTTCATTTTTAAATAACCCTGATATCTTTCTGTAATGAATGCTAAAACCAAAAAATGAGTCGATTGCAACTCAGAGCGGCCCTATAGGACAGAGTAGAACTGCCCCATAGCGTTTCCAAGGAGCAGCTCGTGGATTCTAATCGCCATCTGGTTAGCGGCTGAGCTCTTAACCATTGCAGTACCAGGGCTTCAATGAACGCTAGGGAATATAAAATGTTGCTCTGGCAAGAAATTAAGTTAAGATAGGTGTGGATAACTGACAACCTAGAGGTGGGAAAGAGGAGTTACATGTGCATAGTTACAAGAGTTTTTCGTCATATATTGTTCATGTTTATTTTACACTAGAAGAGAAGTTATAATACGTTTTGCTTTCTGCATGCATAATGGAAAAATCACACACTCTAGAGTCCAACAAACTGAAATCCTAATCCTGTTTTTCTCTAGGGTTGTAGGTAAATGCTTTAACATCTGAAGTCTTACTCATGCTTCTATAAAATGGGTGGATGATACCCATGGATTCTATAAACATTAAGTGTATATAAAGAGTTGATCACAGAGATTGACAAATGGAATTTACATTGACAGTGGCAATTATTATATAGCAAAACAATTGTATAGCATCATACAATTAGTTATTTCCTTTTAAAAGTATTGAATCACTCCCTGACCTTTCATTGTGCCATTGGTCCCTTCTCCTGTGGGCGCCTTCTCAGAATAAAATTTTAAAGGTATAAAGTTAAAAAAAAATAGAATTACAAAGGAAAGTAATTATACTGAAATATTATTTCCATAATATTTAAAAGAACAAATTAGTGATAAAGTAATATATGTGCTTCCTTATTAAGGGATTAAATATCAAGATCTAAGTGGGTCTAATAATACTGTAATTTCAGTATAAAGATGACAATAGAACCTAATTTGAAGTATCTGACATAAACGTAATGCCATATAAAATATCTGTAATTACTATTAATGAGAAAGACACAGCACAGAAGAGCTAAATGTCAATTAAATTTTAGTAAATATAAAACACAATTGTGCCCCAAGTAAATTCACAGACACCTCAGATTAATAAACCTCAATCTAAAGTCCATGAAAACAATACTTTCAACTCAATTTATCTATTCAAATGGAGGCAGCTACTGAATTAGAACATTATACAGGTGCAATATCAATTTGAAGAGACAACCATTGATTTCAGCATTTTCCAGTGATGTGTGTGTGATTTTAAAACGTATCCTACGTTTCAAAAAAATGTTTTAAAATAAATGAAACAGAAGAAAGTGCTGTCATTACAATTGGGGTGGGAAGCTCAGAGCTGGGCTCATTGGGCTTTGTCATCACCATCCACAGCTGCCAGATAAGCAACCGAAGTCTTAAGAATTTCCTTTAAAAATTCACTGCTTTCATTTAATTAATTTTTTTTTTCAAATAAAGAAATAATTTCGCTGATAGTTAAATGAAAGGCAGTAGACTTCCCTTGTGGTTACTGGGCAAAACTAGGATTTCCATTCAACAAACACTTACTAAGAGATTATTACATCTAAGGCTCTGCAAAAACAAAAATGAGGTGTGATCCCTAGTCTCATGGATCAGAAAAACAGGGATGCGGAAGAAACTAGACATAAAAAAGAAAGAAAAAATTGTTGAAAAAATAAAAACATAGTAAATTTGTGGTAGGGGGGACCTGTTGCCCTCGCATCAATTCCGACTCATAGAGGACGCTATACAACACAGTAGAACTGGCCCATAGAGTTTCCTAGGCTGTAAATCTTTATGGAAGCAAACTGCCATATCTTTCTCCCATGGAGCGGCTGGTGGGTTCAAACTGCTGACCTTTGGTTAGCAAACGAGTGCTTTAACTACTGTGCCACCAGGACTCCTTTAATCAGGGAAAATTTTATGTTTAATGCCATTTTGACTTGTCCACAAACACCCTAGCTTTGCGCTTCTATTTGTCTACTTGAAACTTTTGTTAGATGCTCATATTCGGAGAAGAGAAAGTTTGATCAGCCTCAGATCTGGAATCAAACTAAAATTTACACCTCTGAGTGAATGTATTATTGTATACATTATTAATAAAACCAAAAACACAAACCAATTGGTATATGGCTTTCAAGGCTGTGGCTGTGACCTTTCAGAAGAAGATTGCCAGGTCTTTCTTATGAGGTATCTCTGGGTGGGTTTGAACAATCAAACTTTCAATTAGTAGTCGGACGCTCACCGCTTGCACCACCCGTGGACTGTGTTATTAATGGCAGTGTATTATTATTCTCTTTCCTTTGAAAATGCCCATTTCTTTTTCTTTTTTCCTATTCTGAAGCTTGTGTATCTTTTACCTAATCCTTGGAATCTGGAATTTTCAACAGGAGTACGTATATGTTTTCAGTTAGTTCTGTTTGTTTCTTGCCATTTCAATCTCTAAGCCCAATTATTTCTTTAGGTTAATGAGAAAATCTCTCTCAAGCCCTGAACACACACAGTTCAAGAAGATTGGACAATAAGAGGTAAGGTTTTACTGGCTTTGTGAGATCTAATTAAGCAGATGTAGACTTAAAAGTAATTTTTAAATAAGGAAATTATTTTCAGAACACACTCTTAAGCAGGAGAAAACGTAATGTGAGCTCACCATAGCAGAGATAGAATGAAGAAACTGATGTAATTAATGCCATGGCGCCTTCCAGTAGGAGGTGTAACAGGAGCACAATGCAGAGCAGAAGAAGTACCGCTGACTCTGCTGCTCTGATCATCTAACTCCATGAGGCGTTTGCATCTTGCTTGAACCGTTTTTAATTTCAGTGTTATAGGACAGCAGGCTCTCTGTTGTATGAAAACTGGTATGATCTTCATCAGGACAAACCAAACCAAACCTGTTGCCGTTGAGTCATTTCCGACCCACAGTGATCCTATACGACAGAGTAGAACTGCCCCATAGGGTTTCCAAAGAGCGGCTGGTAGATTCCCACTGCCGATATTTTGGTTAGTAGCTGAGCTCTTAACCGTTGCACCACCAGGTCTCCTCATCAGGACAAGGAAGCAAGAATTTTTTGAAATAAATAATTCCTACTAATGAGTGAAGGAGTTCTTACTGAAGGAAACAGTTAAGTACTCGGCTGCTAACCGAAAGGTTGGTGGTCAAACCCAGCCAGCCATTCCATGGGAGAAAGACCTGGAGATCTGCTTCTGTAAAGATTACAGTCAAGAAAACCCTATACAGCAGTTCTGCTCTGTCACATTGGGGTCACTATAAGTCGAAATTGACTCGACAGCACTTAACAACAACAATAACAACAGCAATGAGTGAAATAATTATCTTACTTTTCTCTGGGTAGGAAGTAAATCCAGGATGGGGTAAAATTAAAAAAAAAAAAAAGGTAAAGAACATGATGGTCTCTTTAGGGTTGGTGATGGATGTTATAGTGGGAAAAAAAGTGTGAGAGAAAGGGATAGATGTGCAGTGGTTGGCTTGGAGTAGACTTTATTATACTTTATATTTCTTTAGGGTTGGTGATGGAAATTATAGTGGGAACAAAAGTGTGAGAGAAAAGGATAGATGTGCAGTGGTTGGCTTGGAGTAGACTTTATTATACTTCATATTTCAAGGGAGGATTTATTTCCTAGGATATAATAAGGTACAATGTGTAGCCTATGAGAGTGGTTCAGTGAAGAACAGTAGAAATCAAAGTCATTCACCTCAAGGAGGCCAAGGAAGTGGGAAGCTGGACTGTGAATGCATCATCCACACAGACTTGAAATAACCCAGGCTGGAGACTATAACTTCAAGCCAGGTGTGTGAGGGAGGGGTAGAGAGACTAAGGGACCCATAATGTCAGCAACAGAGAGATGTCAATGATGGTAAAGCCCCTCAAAGGGGCCAGGTTTCTATTTATGAATGGAAGGGCAGTTGTCTGGGCATAACACTGGTTAGCAAAGAGTACGTCGGTTCTACATCACGGTTTGACGATGGTTGTTGTTGTTAGGTGCTGTTGAGTCAGTTCTTACTCATAGATGCCTTATGTATAACAGAATGAGATGTTGCCTGGTCCTGTGCCATCCTCACAATAGTTGCTTTGTTTGAGTCCATTTTTGCAGCCATTGTGTCATTCCATCTCATTGAGGGTGTTCCTCTGTTTTGCTGACACTACTTTACCAAGCATTATGTCTTTCTCTAGGGATTGCTCCCTCCTGATAATATGTCCCAAGTGCACGAGACAAAGTCTTGCCATCCTTGCTCCTAAAGAGCGTTCTGGCTGTACTTCTTACAAGACAGATCCGTTCGTTCCTTTGGCCGTCCATGGTATATTCAATAGTCTTCACCAGGACCACAATTCAAATACATCAATTGTTCTTCAAACTTTCTTTTTCATTGTTCACCTTTCACATGCATATGAGG